CTAGCATTTTCAATCTCGCAGTAAAACTAAAGTCCGACGGTTTCACGACAAACTCTGCATAGTCCAATCCTAAAACCATTAGCATTTTAGGGATGCTTTTTTAAATTCTTCAATTCAATAAGTCTAGTGACGTTAATTTATGTTAAGCCCTAAACTGGCGGTTTTTAATGAATTTACTGGCAACATTTCGAGTTTTAGGCAATCCCAATTGAGCGTTTGTTCGAATTTCTTTCCGCAACTTCGTTCGAGCGTCAGGGAGACCTTGTGGAATGTACCTAGTCGTGTGTCCTCTGCCATCATATTCGGGATTTCCAGCATTGGACCATTGGTTGGGTACATTTCCAAACGTTTTGCTGGCATCGTTAGGGAGAAGCGTCATCGTAGGCACAGAGTAACAACTTATCAAAGTGACAAGTTGAACAATTTTCTACTCAACTGTTGCGGCATCACTCATTGCCTCTATCTTTTGTTCTACCTTCTAGCCCGCATCTTTTTCCCTCAACCCCACTTCATACAGCACATCCACTTATTCACACAATTCTCTTCTCTCATTTCCTCCAATGTCGCCTAAGAGTATGTCACTAGAAGTTGGTTTAGTGAAGCGTAATCATCTTCATCACCGGTAACAGCTGCTCTTAGTGGGGCTCCTGACTTTCATTCTGCCACCCATTTTTTCCCTTTGTCAATTAGTCGCTGTTAAACACCAAAATTACTTTTTTCGTAAGTGAATATGTTTTCGAGATTACGAGTAAATCAGATATATTAATAGGATCCCCCTTATTTCGTTTAAGATGATGAAGGTCTGGTAGTTGAATATTTCCGCAATGATATGAGCAGAGCTGACGCTTCCATTGAATTTCACATAGCCCTGCTTTCCCAAAAGATGTCCTCATTCAAGGTGGACTGAAGTTTCAACATCCCCAGCGGGAGCCGAACCATCACAATGCAGAATATAAGCTTGACACGTTAACCACTACACCACATTGCCCCGATTGCCCTTGGGTCACGGAGCAGATGCGAATTTCAAGGAATTCCAGACATTTTCGATATCACATTCTGTTTGGGCATTGTCGATGGAGCAAACTTATATTTACTATAGCAATCGACGATATTACTCTTTTCGTAAGTGAGTAGGTAGTAGTAGTAACTCTGCTTACGATGGCGCCTCTCACTGACGATGCCGGAGAAATTTTCGGGAATGTACCATCTTAATGGCCAAATGCTAGAAATCATGAATGCCACGGCAGAGGACACGGGCTTAAGTACGTTCCACAAGGTCGAACCAATTCTATAAAGTTAAAGGAGACTGCGACCAAGCAGAAAGCCACACCCTCTTGGTCTTCATATCTACGTTCTAATCTGAATCGAGGCCTACTTTCTGCCCTGCTTCGCCACAGCCCAAAGCCCCGGTTCCAGAGACAATTCTATGTAATATTATATTTGGAAGCTATAAATTTTTCTTCAGGACTTTTGCTTGGGAATGAAAAGTTGGCTGGAAGGTTTCGTAGATTGGCCTGACCGGAAACGGAAGGACTTTTAAATTTTACACAGAGATCACAACCCTTAGGCGATTATCCTTCGGTTTCCAGTAGACCAAATTTATGGCAACCTTTGGACAACGTTTTCCTTCGAAATGACATCATATTTGGAAAATCTCTTTCTTACTGGTCTACAAGTCTTTCTCTCATTCATGCGGCCAAGGAACACATTATTGTACGTCTGCAAACTGTTAAAATTGGATCCTTTACCTCGTTGTAAGGATGGTATAGAAAAGGGAAAAACTTGAGTAGCACCTAACACTGTGTGTATTTCCTAGTTTACCTTTAGTTCTTAAATCTTTTTGGGAGGTTAGTAAAAGGGCAAGAATAAAACTTGAACCGGCGCTCAACTGCTGCAGAAATCTTTTTTATCTGGCTTGCTGTAATTTAGCATTTGTATTTTATTTATAAGTAGAGTTTCGAGACTTAGCATTCACATTTCATTTGTTATAAAGGCCTGATGGAGTTCCATATTGGAGCAAAATTGCATTAAATTCTGATATAAGAGCTATATTCACCCTACTTCGTTTTAAGGTAATG